GAGAAGAAAACACTATGGAGTTAGTGCCTATATTCAGCTTGTTCTCTTTTGGAAAAAGATATCGCTACACAGCTAAATACAGCAACCTTAGCACACAGTCTTGCTAGGACTGCAATTAAAGCACAATTACTATTCAGAATGAAAGTACAGTAGACCGTTCAGGGCTTTTATTCAGTGCACATAATCTAGCTTGGAACAGAGAAAGAAAAGTGCATTCAATGTAAATATTATTAATTGCAATACAATTTAGGAGCTGAAGGGTATCAAAAACAACTGTGTGACTAAGCAAAAATGCCAAAAGCAATTCTGAGAAGTAAACATAATTGAGAAGTCATGAAAGGAAAGAAAACTGACACATATTGGATCTAAGATGGGAAAAATGAATTGGAAATATAATCTCATTAACCCTTTACCTGCCACCGCCGTAAGGCATACAGTGGAACAAAACTGTTCCTGAAACGCCAGCTCAGTATGCCTTACGGCGGTGGCATTTACAGTTTAGCTATAAGCTCATGGTTGCTTTAGCGACCATGAACCTATAGCAGAACTGTTCCCTGGACAGTCCCCTTTATGTTATCAGCTCACAAGCCGCTGATGACAGCTATTAACAAAAATTCTAGGCAGGGATCTGTGTCTCCATGGATCCCCGCTGCTCTGCACCGCTTGCATGGGCTGAGGCAGCGGGGATCCAAGGAGAAATGGCCAGCGGGGGGGGCGAAGGATCGAGCGGCGGCTGGCAGGGAGAAGCCGCAGTTGTCACGATGCCAAAACGGTGAGGAGATCGGAGCCGCCGTCATCCTGTCAGTTTCAGGATGACAGTTGCTCTGTGCGTAGCCGAGCGGAGGATCGGTAAATATCAGTGATATTTACCGATCCTCTGTGCAGAACAAACACTGGGGTGATTTACATTGCTTCCTGTTCATTCATGATTTTCTCAATGGGGAGAAGCACTCAGTACAGAGGCTTTCCCCCATTCAGAAACTGGCGATAGTAAATGTTTTACTATCACCAGTTTCTGAATGAATGGGAAGCCTCTGTACTGAGTGCTTTCCATTCATTGAGTGCTGAGGCTGCAGCACTCAATGGAACACTGTCTAGACCCCTAATATTTCCCCAAAGCCCCCCCAACAGTAAAAAAGATATAATTAGAACACATCGCAGTTCATGATTTAAAAAAAAAAAATTCAGAGGACTGAAGACCAGCTATGCCAACAGAGGGGTAAGTGTTTTTTTGTACGTAAGTGTTTTTATGTATGTACATATGTATGTGTCAGTGTCAATTAAATGGTTGGTGTGTGCCCCTGGCTCCTACCTATCTACCATTCCACTGACAGTGCCGGTAGGTGGCAGCCAGGTGCACTGTCAGTGTCACTGGAATGGTGGATAGGTGGCAGCTAGGTGCCCACATGTTTCCAGATACACTCACCTATCTGCCATTCCAGAGACACTCTCAGTGCCTAAATGTGTCAGTGCCACTGGAAAGGTGTGTGCACCTGGCTTTCATGTATCCACCATTCCAGTGACCCTGAAAATGCACCTGGCTTCCTCATACAGAAACTATTAGTGTCACTGGAATGGTGGATAGGTGGCACCAGGTGCACTGTCAGCGTTACTGGAATAGTGTATACACAGGTCACCTTGCTCCTACCTATCCACCTTTCAAGTGACATTGACAGTGCCTGTAGGTGGAAGCCAGGTGCACTGATGGTGTTATTAAAATGGTGGATAAGTGAAAGCCAGGTGCACACACCTTTCCAGTGACACTGACACCTACAGGCACTGTAAGTTTCACTGGAATGGTGAATGGGTGAGAATGTCCCTGGAAAGGTGTGTGCACCTGGCTCCCTCCTTCTATCCACTATTCTGTAGACCTATTATCTCAACCCCTCCCACTTTTAAAAAGCACCATTTGGACATGCAGTTATAGCCCCGCTCACCCCATCCACAGCACGGCATGCGTCTCAGGAATGATAGTTTCTAAAAGTTCCCAAGTATGGTGATAAGCTGGCCAGTATATGCCCTCATTCACACGACTAACAGCCGGCCCGTACAGATCCGTGCTGCGTGCACGGCCGTATCAGGCTGCTCACGGGAAGGCAGCTGCTGCATGTGATTTGTACGCAGCAGCCTTTTCTTCTCTGTGGGAGTACGCTGTCGTGCGCGTGTCCTTACTCGTACGCTGTTGTGCGCGTGTCCTTACTCGTACGCTGACAGGATGGATGGATCATTCTACACACATAGCCAGAGTGCCCTATGTATTTGTTCAGTCAATTCAATTCAATCTAGGCCATTAATAAACTATCACAGCTAAAGCACAAGGCTCCAGACATCTGCTCCATAACACAGGGATCTGGATACCACAGCAGTCGAAAAGAGTTTAAAAAGTATAAAGAATTTAAAAAGTATAAATAGTTTAAACTACTCTAACATGGTTTGACCAGATTAGAGTTAACACCAACATAGGACGGATGACCAAAACAGCAAAGGCAAACTGAGATCTAATTAAGGAATTCAATTTATTTTCAGTAAAGTCCCTAAAATAAGTATACCTTTGATACCTTGCTAATGGTATTTCTCTTAAAATGGAACACTGGAGCATCCACATTGGGCACTGCCCTATAACAATAGAGGTCCCAGGTTGCAAATTACAAGCGTTGGTTCCTTTTGGGGAAACCAGTACAAATCCCACAAGAACCATTCGGGAAATCTAGATCATGGCTGGCTCCACCCAGCTGACGTTCGCCCCCCATACAACTGTCACTGCGGCTCAGTTGTATGGGCTATAGCGAATAGCCCGTAGCTACGGCTGGATCCTTCGGTTCTTTCATTAATAACCCCCTAAGTGTTCACTACAGAGAACACTACAGAGTTGACTACATTCCTGTGACCCTCAATGGAGGATAAAGAAAAAAATGGTTTTGGCTATAGATACATTTTAGGCAATTCATTGTCCTGGTTCTGCAGTCCAGCTTTCTATGTCACCTCTTGGCCTCCAACCTGCTCATTAGCAACTGTGAAACTGGGCTTCTGTCTAATAAGCAGCGAGCTGAATTAGGAAGCAGTAATGTTAAATCATGACCTTTCTGACAGGCAGGTTTGTATATCACAGGAATGGCTGGCCAAAATGTCAAATTCCATTGGCAGGGAAAACAGTGGTCATGTCTGTGAAATATAACCATGTAATTATCTATCTGCCTAGAGTTTCCACTTTAAATGAACACATGAACAAGGACACATTCCTCCATGTTTTATAAACCAGCTCTCATGACCTAAAATGTACAGAACAATAACAAAACTGTAGGCAGAGATTAAATAAAAGCCTTTATTTAGTTGTATGCACCAACCACGTCCGCACAAGGCTGAAGATCATTATAATGCATAGACTTCGGAATCAGTCACTGATTATAATCTAGATGAATTCATCCATGAATACAAGTAAGCGCCCATGGTTAATTTAATTTTGTAGAGCTGTCAGTTGAAAATAGCTTTTTCATTTGTGGTACATTGAAGAAAAGCTTTTTGGCTTGTTCGTGCTTCACTGCTTTGATGTGGGTGAATAATATGAATGTCAAATCTCCAAAAATATTGCTTAAGGGCACCCAATGCTAGCACTGGTGATTGTAAAGTTTCAGTGGACAAATATGCAATGTTCTTCTAAGAAGCACAGATCAAGAGGTTGATGCTAGGTTGGCAAGATTTACGAGTATGGAAATTTTACTAGAAGTAGATCTAAACCCGAAAATTCAAATACGCTTTTACATGGTAATGTAATTTCAACTTTTGTTTTATTTTTTTTCAATTATGCAGCTTTCATTAAAAATACCTTGTGATTGTGCCATTAGGGTCCTTGTTTAAGCACTTGCTGTTATTGGGTGACAACTGTCTCACAACTAGGCTTCTGTGTTGTAACCCTATTACATTCTCCCTGGTGTAGACTACTTGTGGCTGTGCGAACACACATTGCTTATGCAAGGTCCAACATTGTTAAGTGCTTGTGTTTAAAGGCTTCAATGGGCAAATGCAGCACACTATTCATATCAATTTGAGATTCTTCTGGGATCAATAGAATTCATAGGATATTTAGTTAATCTGCATTTGACTTTACCAGTTCTGATATGATCAAACGCCCATTGGCCAACAGTAACCGGTTGAAATGTTTTAATGGGCAAATACATGTACTTATAATATTGATTCACAAATCACATGTCAACTTTGAAATACATTTTCACTTTGCAAGATAATTTGCACTTAGCTTAGTGAATGCGGGGAAGCCATGCTGACTTCATTCATCCAATCATGTACAAGCAAGTGTCTTTTTTTTTTTACTTGAACATGATTGGGTTTTCTGTGCAAACTGAATTTTCACTCAATTTACTCTAAGTAAAAATTCACTTAGCAAAGTAAACATGCTCAATTCCTTCCATGAATTAGGGCAATTGTGTAAACAATGAATGCTGTATGCTTCTCAATATCCAGTACCTAGGTGTACAGGGCCCAAAAAGGAGGACTGTATTCTCAATAAAAAAAACAAGATTCACCTTAATCACTATTTTTTAATAAACAAAAACATATTGTTAAGAAGCTTGGTATGAAACTAATTTACATAGGCTGTGCGTAGCATCACTACAAAGCTCCAGGGGTTACTGTAATGTAATTTACTGCTTATATTAACTATGCTGTCGATTATGTCTTCTTTATTGTCTTTATAGCAAATTAAATTTGTATATTATTGCACTTATTATTGCACTTAAAAGTTGATTGTTCAAAAGTATCACAAAAAGAGGTACAGTACATGCAAATGCAATGCTGAAGTTTGCCCCTAAAACATCCTCTGCAATAAATTGTAATATACATATTCTATTTTTACTTGATGGCCGTTAAAACACATTAGACTGTGTGTATATGTTTTAATGTCTGTACTATTAGCCCAAGTCTGCATAATCATGCAAATCCAGAACAGAATCCAAGACAATATTAAAGAAAATAAAGCTATGACTTACTTTTTTTCCCATCCATATCTGCATGAAGTTTGCGTGCAAGGAAACCAGCCTTGTACACTGCCGCATTTGGGTCATGGGGGATATCCAGGAATGGGTTGCTGCTGCTGCCAATCCGACTAACGTTCTTTGACTGAGTACCATTTGCTTTTTCGTCAGCACTGTCTGATGGTGATTTTTTCATTGCATCAACATCATCCCTGTTGACAGAAAAAAAGAAACATTTATATTTATATACAACTTATACATCTAAGCTAAGTGAAATAACTATAATTTATAGTAGTAATTAACTATAATAACCTATCTTTTGCCCCAGCAGCTCATATTTAAAGAATCTGTTCCTTCTCCCACCATTACCTTCAGCCACTAGGAAAAAAGATGAAACACTGTATAAGCTCCAAGATATGACTTGGAGCTCATACAGGGATGATGATGCTCTCTCCGTCACCCATGTGACAGTGCTGGGCCAATCACCAATGCTGTTAATGTGGTTGTAGTAGGAAGAGAATGAGTCACATGTTTGGCCATACCCAGAAGTACTGGGTATTCTCTTTGTTTTCATCATCTGAACCGAGTGTGAGGGGAGGGAAGGAAATGTGAGCATGTGCTTCTGGGGAGAGAGAACCTGATACTTTACCTTCATTGGCAAAACACTGTGTTCACTTTAGCATGGTATTGTAAATGAACAGCTTTAAAGTAAGCCAGTAAAAACTCATTTGCACACACATTTATAGTAGCCCAAAGGTACTGTACTTACTGGCCCAAGCATTATTATATAAAACGTGTTGCCAATATAGAGTTTTTGCTATGCCTCCTAGCTTATAAGACTGCAGTCTAAGCTGGGAATGTGAACTAGTTAGAGTTGTTTTCAGGAATTTATAACAGTGGGCAACCGTCACCTTATACAGGATGATGCCACCAGATGTAATTTGAAGGCACTGAAGAGGGACTTAGATGATGCAGGCACATCTTATATGTAGTCCTAATAATACTCTTATAACACTTTTCTGTAATGTAAGCTCTTCCTTTGCTGCTGGCAATTTTCTGATGTTTTTGTTAAAACAAAATCCCCAAGTGAATCAGTCAAGTTTGGGCAAATATATATGAATGACAATACCTGCAAATTGTGTATTTCAGTATTACACACACTACTGATTTTTTTCTAGAAAAGGATCAAGAACATGTACGGGGAATTGAGTTTCTTATCCAGTCGCTGTTGGTAAATTGCTTGTGTTACATTCAGCAAATTGCTTAATCATCAGGTTTCTCAGACTGGCATGTCTGTAAAGTAGGCCCTTATTGTTTTTTGAACCCATAGGGCTTTGTATACGTTTGTGCACTATACAAGTCTAATTACAAAGGAGAAAAGCAATGTTATTAGCAAACTTAATTGGCTTGTTAATTAAACATGCCATTCATGTGAACTAACTCTACTACAATCTTTAATTCCATACAAGAACCTCAAAGCATAGCTTTTCTTCAAGTACTATATACAGAATCAAGGCCCCTACACACTTGTACACATTGAATGATGCACATTAACATGTGCTGCTACGTGCATTTATGCATGCTTTATACATCATTTTAATAGTAGTGCATTATGTAAAGTGAGAGGGAAATATTGAGAACAGCAATTTTTACTGATGCCAAAAAAATGCACAAACACTTCCACGTTCTGTTTATATCATGAATGTAATGAGTGACATCACAGCACTAGCTCTGAGTAAAGAGGCTGGGACAGAGCTGTTACAGCACTTCCCTGCAGCCAGAGATCCTTGTTATATGAGTAGTAATCTATTGCTAATTGCAACCAGCTATAGATCACTATTAGAAATAGTTTAAAGCAGACCACTTAAAAGTAAAATGTTTACATTCACTTTTTCCTTTACAATTTCAATACGTTACATAGAACTTGCAGTAATGTGAAATTATTTTAATCAATAGACTCTGCTGATTATATTTGGGGTTAAACATTCCGTTGAAAAAATTATACGAAAATTATTTTGTTACTAATCCCAGTAAAAACAAGCAAATACAAATATATGTATGCAAATTTGCTACCAAACAAAAGCCCTATCTTTCTAAAATAAAAAAAAATTATGTATAATACGTTAGGGTAGACTACAAAAACTAAAAGATATAGCATTTGGATCCAAGACACTGCCGAAAAAAAAAAATGCTCTGGGAAAAAAAACTTGGGACTCAAATGGTATAAAATGTGTTTTTTCGGTACAGCGTTGCATGAGTGACTGAATAAACGTCAGTCACAGTACTGCAGCCCTGAATACTGAAAAATGGCCTGGCCAGGAAGGGGGTTAAACACCCTGGTCTTCAAGTGGTTAGAAAAAGTTCATCTTGATTACAATATTTGGAGCTGATAAATTTCCTGTGCCATGTTATCAATTACATTTTTCTCTTAGGACTGCAGAACCACACCCTTCTAACTTAAGAAAAATAGGAAAGGGGCAGATGTCATGATATTGAAGGCTGATGAACCCCAAAACGGAGTGGAGACAGAGATGCAGTTGTACTGAACACAGTACAACTCTAAATGTACAAGTCGATCTGGACTCGAAACCAAAGACCATACAAACATTGCCAAGTATTTGTGATGTTTAATCCTATTTATTTTATAGCCTTTATCTCTGATGGCATCACATTTTTTAATGAGATTTTTTATACGAACATTCATACAAAAACCAGTGCCAGTGCATGGCCAGCATAAAGGGAAAATATTATGGTCTTGGGTCAATTTTAGTCTGTGTGTCAGTCTACACTAAACAATTATTTTATATCTGTTTTTCTGTTTTTGTTTTACATTCTTGGACAGGAATGTGTGTTCAAAAACACAGGGCAACCTCTGTGCATCAGAGCAGGAAACCCTTTCTTAATCCACTGATAATGACAAATGTGTTTTATTGAGATGCCTCCACTGTGTGCCTCAGTGATCAGGGAGAGAAAATGTACAATATCATGCTCACTAGGCACCCAGCAACGAAAGGTTGTAGGACTAAGCACTTCTAGGCTCTATCAGATTAACGAATGAGAGTTTACCAGGTCACATCGGCTCTGCGCACTGAATTCTTCCATCAGTACACAACATGTTGGGTCAAAATAACCAATTAAAGGAGAAATATGGGGTCAGGGCTTTTCCCAATAGTCCTCCTAAGGGTAACGGGAGGACACAAACTAGCGTCCTCCCGTCACACTAAGCTCCATATACCGCGAGCTATAGTTCGCGGTATACTGAGACGCCGCAGCCGGGACGGATCCCGACAATATTGTCTGGATCCACCCAGCGGCGGGATTGACAGCTGGCTCTGCCTATCTAGAGGCAGAGCCAGCTGTGCCCGCCCCCTCCCGCGTCCGTTCCGCCAGTCAGCGCTGAAGGATCGAACAGGGGAGGGGGGATCCCTGCAGGGAGCCGTGAGTGACAGTCACGGCTCTCGGCAGGGACAGGATCGAGAAGTGAGCGAGCGACGTATGTGTTCGCTCACTTTCCGATCTATTGAGCCGACATGTGACAGTTTAATTGTCACATGTCGGCTCAGATTATGAGGCTGAGTGATTTTCACTCGCCTCATAGTTCTCCTTTAACTTAAAAAAATATTATGCTGCAAGGTAGTCTTTAATTGTAACCTGTAATTGGCAGTGAAATGGTAAAATAATGCGACCATCCACAGGTGGTTTAAGAACTTTAAATTTAAAAGTCATTAGCAGCAGCAACAAGCAGAGACGCGAGAACATGATTTATATGTTTTTTTTAAGACACTGAAGGCATAAACAATAAAGATTCATTTTATTTATAAGTGATTTGTTTTTAAACATAGTTGAGTACAGGGAATTAATTTCACTGCCAGCTGTAAAGCACAAAGGCATTTTTACTTAATCTCTTGCTGTAATCAACATAAATAAGTAGAAATGCTGCAAAAGCATATTAACAATTTCAAGCTGTAAATTATAATCAAATACCACCTACAATACCAACATTAATTGCGTAGAGGTACATAATGCATTTTAGAAAGACATAAGGTGTAAAGCTGGAGCTACATTTTAGATGTGAATTATTACTTCTTAAAGGAAAACTGTAACAAACCTGTACAATTCAAATCAAGCGCATGCACCTTTGCCACCGCATTTACCATCAGTGAAAACCACATTTTAAAAAGATTAGTAGAGCCAGAGATATATGAGGTTTTTATGCAGATTGTGACCTTTGCTAAAGAAGTATGATATGAGTCTATAGAAGCTTAGTTACACTATCTGTGACATACACCCGGCCCGAACCCGCTATACGTCAATCACACGTTACTATAAGCAGCTCTGAACCGACCATGGCGCTACAAGGACGTGTCGATACCACTCTCAGCCTCACCCTGCACAGAGCTTTCCCAGCTTGCGGGACACAATCTCAGGCCAGCAGATAGAGTGATCGTCATTAGGTTTTTTTAAACTCTGCAGTTAACCCTTTACACACCAAACATTCACTACCACCACGTACTTTACCAGACGTACGCACTCATCTCAGCAAGTTCTGCGACACTTCAAAACAATGTAAACAAAGCCTATAATACGGCTGTCCTCTCAGAGGGAATATAACAGTATTCACTATACAGTAACACTCTTCACAGAGGCAAGGATACTTTAAGTTCTTATTTAGAGCGTAAAGATAAGCTTAACGATTTTTAAGATCGTCCTTTCATAAAAGAAACGGTGCAGAAAAATGTACAGGAAAATTAATTATTAAAGAGACACAAAATATATAACAAAAAAATAAAAAGGAATAACAGTCCTGGTTTTAGGACTTCTGACAGAGTCCAAAGTTCAATAAGCAAAAGAGAGAGTCTAAAGGGTTCTCCTTCAAGCAAGTTGCACAGATGATGTCCAGATTTTAAAGGGGTACTCTTCTGTGATGTTAAGACTTCTTGATGTTGCTGGAGTTCCTTTGTCGATGTTTCAAAACAAGAGCCCTCTCTAGCTACGTTCAGCATCTTTTTGTCAGCCCTCTAGGGGGTGTCACGTACCCACATGGCCACTAGGGCAGGGTTTGGGAGGGAGGAGCAGGAGGAACGAGCTTTTATGATTTCCTCCTCTGCTCCTTAATTTAACCAAACGGCTACATTTATAACAACGAGGATAGTTGGGTACTCATTTTTAATAAGGTCCGGCAACCCCTAAATTATCATGCGCCATGAAGTTA